CAACAGTTCTTTTAGCGGTAAATCTGGATGTGTATACTATCGAGAATGTGCAATAACATCAGATTTCCGCATCAACGGACTAGGGTCTTTAATGTCGTGACAAAATAGACAAAACTACTGATAATTTAACTACTAAAATTTGATGTGATATGTGTGAGCATTTTTCATGATTCTGATTGTAAAAAGGGCGTTTACTGTAGTTTTTCAGTAGGCGAAACTGTAAAGTTTGCTTGCTCTTATCGGAAAATTCCTAGACACGCCACAGAGTATAAATTTATAAAAAGTGAAATGCCGAATTTTTTTTTAGGCCACGAAGAACCTCGTCTGCTCAGCGCGCACTTTTCAGCTGTAGCTGGAGCATCTCGGGAAAATCTTCGTACTCGGCCATCACAAGCCGGATTAATTCACCACGACGTAATACACGAGGATTCCAAGGCCGATTTACCAGTTGGACGACATCCAGTCAGCGGGGATCCCCCGCCATCATTTGAATCAGGTGCAGCACAAAAACACCTTGCAGCCAGGACTGCCACCTGGCAGAGCCGATACCGCCATAAGCTATACAAAAGGCAAAGTCGTCTCGAGACACATATTGCTGCAGTTCACGAAAAGCTCGCCTTAAAAAGTAGCAAATCGAGCGGCAGTCAGATTCTGCCGGCAACAGCTGTGCACAATCAGTAAACTTTGTACCTGTTTTCAGTTCTTAGCATTTTGCACGAATTTTCGTATTTGTAGCAGAAGCGTGACTTCGCATATGTTAAATGATAAATTGCTAAAAGCATATAGTGCTTAAGCGCTGAGAGCACATAGGGCTTGCAAGCAACTCTCAAAAGGGATAGTTATCAAAAGTGTTGTCAGCAGGTGGCTGCTGTTAACACCTACTACCACTCAGACCATTTGTGAGTACCTCCACCTTTCAAAGAGAACAAGCGCCGAGGGTTTTTGACTTGATGAACAATATGAATGTACTTAATGAACAAAATGAACTTATTTCAGGCATCATGTTACATCGAATCAAAAGAACTGCATTTAGAATTTGAGGCAGAGCTGAAGAAAATATGGAAATCTTCCTTGTCACATGTTACTTCATTTTAAACATGTGAATAAGTAAATGAGTTAAGCAGAAATCAGTTCTTGCAATTAAATAGTTATACAGCCGTGCCCATCAACAGCCCTAAAGCACCTTCGAAAAAATTATCAACATGGCCAGAGGACAACGAAAAAAAATCAAAAGTCCCCCGAAAGCCACTGCTGAGTACCTCTGAAAATGCGCGAATGGTGACAGTAGCAATCACTCGCTTGCACAGTAGCCGTTGTTAAAAAACAAACTGATAGCGGTTCTGACTCAGTGGCATATACTAGTACTAATTTACCGTTGGAAGGAGCGAATTGCACGGTAGAAGGCTTGAGCTCGAAATCCTCGACCCTTTGCAAAACAGCAGGTGAATTCAAAAAAGAAAATCAAATGCTTTTACAGAAAGGAAAAATTTACTGTGAGATCATAAGCAGAAAAAGAAAAAATTATTTGCTATGCGATTCTTGGAAGTAGACAAAGATTGCTTTGAAAAAAACATTTCAAGTATCACAAAGCAGCAGCCACCCTAAAATACTAGATCGGTGTTTCACGTGCTTTCACATTAACTACATGGTCATTCATGCTGTAAATTTTGCTCATTTGCATTTTTGTAGGGAGCATCGAAAGGAATGCCTTTCGGTAAGGTTCCAGTGCAATAATTGTCACAATGCCAGAAATTGCCGCTCGAAACTGAAATTGCTTAGGTTACATAAAATTGCAATTTTTTGCAGAATTAAATGAAAAATTTTTTAAGTGCTAAGAAGTAATGCTGTTGCCGTGCGGTGGATTAGGGATTCGAATCTGCTGGTAAGATTCTTTCATTCATTTCGGTGTTAAATTGGTAGTGGCGTATGCCAGGGAAACATATCCACTATCAACTTGCTGATAAGCGCTCTAGAAAACGTGAGCCATCAAAAATCTTGACACCGAGAAATTGTTCTTGCGCACCCAGAACCGAGGTTGTTTTGGCGCCTAATTTTCAATCGGTCAGGAAATTAGCGCTATTAATTTCTAAAATTGATGAGTTTTTCTGTCCAGTTTCTTTTTTCGCGATTTTTATCCAATGGCCGTTTTGTGCCGAGAAAAAATGCTGCCTGCTTCCAGTTTTGATACATTAACTCGAGCTGGTGTTAAATCTGTTGCTGTAACTTAAAAAGTACGATGAAAATTGACCTTGTTTCTAAGCAGGTTTGCAGAGTAAACATTAATGCTTGGGCAGTATTTGCTGCTAATGGAATGGAGTCAATTAACAAGCTCCCGTACCCATAAAAAATCTCAAAAAAAAGCACAGACTCATCGGACGTAGCTATTTATGCTCTTTAATTTTGAGTTGCTACTTTCGTTAATACTCACCGCCTGTCCAATATATTTGAGCCACTTCTCCGGGGCCGTCCGATTCGTTATTTACTTTCTTGCCGGTACCGCTCACGAATGCGCTATTTTCACCAGTGTTGGCAAGACCAGCAACGTGTACTGCCCATCGGATTTTACTTACCCGTATGGTCGCAATGGTATTGCGCACAATGCTCAACAAAAGGGAGAGTGTAATTGTTTTATGTGGTCAAGATGAAACACTGTTTTGTCGATTAGCTGCAGAAATACACTCTATTTCGTATTTTCCCACCTGTTCTATGCGATTAGACCTGGTTATCAACGGTCTCTGACCGAGCAGCAATTTTACTGGGAAATGTTGGGCAAAAGTATAAAACAGAAATGCATACGCTGGCTATAAAATCAGTAATTGTAGAAACAAAATTGGAACTGTGCATAAATCCCACGCCTTTTTGGAATCCGCATGCCGGGAATAACACAACCAGTACGTCCAACATAAAGGACACTGAAATACATGAACAGATAATTACACAGCATCTCCGTATTCGTAGCTATCTGAGCTTCCCGGAAGAGTTAAATCTGTTGTCAGATGAGGAAGCAGAAGCTACTATCTTCAGGTTAACCAATTTAGAGACCTTTCGAATAATCGACGTGAGACTTTGATGTTAGCAGTGTTACTGGCAGTTCGTCGTTATGCTGCTCCTGAACTGCTTCTGGCAGTACTATTTCCATGCATACCAACACTTCGAAAGCGCACTGGCCGGGTCTTTACCTTTTTGCAAGGGCTTCGATAGTTGATGCGCGATATCCATCGATCATTAGGAGAAAATGAAATTTTTTTTGGCTGTGAACAAAAATAGCAGTGTTATCGGCTACTGCACTAGCAAATCAGTGTGAAATAATAGTCGTTATGCTATCAAGCAAGCATTTCTAAACGCTCAAAGGATTTTCCCTTGAAAAACGAGCACGCACTAAATTACAAAAAAGACTTTTCTGTAAAAGCTGACGTTTCAAATTTGGCAAAATATCTTTGAAAAAAAAAATTTAGAAAAGAAAGTTACCAAAGAGTGGTAAATTGAGTGCGGTCATTGTGATATTGTACGTCGCAAAGGACACAAAGCATTTCCGCTGCGCTTTCTCCAGATCACCATTCCACGCCATTGGTCTGTAGTTGTACATGCCGACAACTGTCTAAACATTTTCGAGATCAGTGCCGCACATTAGCGCAATCGGGAGGCGTGCACCGTTGTTCTGTCAGCGAAAATTCGCTATTATCTCAACAGCTGAGGAAGCTATCGAAAGCCTAATTTTTCTTATTTTGTTTAAAAAAATGCGAGATTTGCCTTACGCTCACTTATTTTTGGTACAGTCAGCATCACGAAATGGCGCGAACCTCTTGTCTGCTTAGAAAGAGATGTACCACGAGTTAATCGTTTCCGTGATTAGCAGACTGCTGCTGGGATGAGAATCACTCGCAGCTATATTAGAATGTGGCCAGCTGCTTCTGTATCAGTAAATTTTAAAAGTGTTTCACTGCATTCTTATTATAAAATGGTCAGATTTGCTGCTTCATACTTCTCTTCCCTCTCCACCTTTCTTACATAAAATCCTCGAAAGTGCTTCCTTTCTAAAGAAAGATCGCTTCAAGCTGAATTACCTTAGAAAGCATCAGCATCTGGACCATGACAGTAAAAAAACACCTGAATTGTGGCAATAAAAGCATTGTGGAGTAGCGGAGCGAGACAACGAACCAATTAGCATGCTAAAGTAGAAATGTTGTCTACAAGACTACAGTTTATCTAGTTAATGATAACTTTTGTAGCAGTAGTATTGTGCTAGAAGCGAATAATCGAAGATTCAGCGATCGATGCAGATATATCTAGTCTGTGAATAGCTGCAGCGTTTACGGCTCCACACTGATAATTTTACCGAATGCAGTAATTTTTCTTTCGAGTAGCTAGACTTAACAGTACTCAGATAAGTGTTTCAGTACCAGTTCAGGACTTCACCGAGTTGATTGAAAATTTTCATTCAATGCTTGCACTGAGTCATAAAAGCTCGAAATAGAGCAGCTTGAAGTTGCCTGCTGTATTAATAGTCAAACAGAACACAAAGCCAAACAGCAGCTGCTGATCAAAGTTTCTAGACAAGTATAGCTGGGATCAAGCGAAATAACATACGGCTATCGTAAGAATAGTAAGTGCAATGGTGAGCAAACAGAGCAAGCATTTCGAATAAAGTAAGCTGGAATGTGTTATTCTCCACATATTTCCGTTTGCGTCAATTACAATAATCAAAGAAATTGGAGTTGCCATGCAGAAAACGAGCAAATGAATGGCAAGAAAAAATTTCAACATGCTCCTGAACAATTTGACATTTTGCGCCCAAAATAATAAGATAAAAAAAAAATATTCTGGTGTTTCCAAAAAACTGCATAATGAGCAACAAAGGAATAAGGTTCAGGCCTTGCCAGCGGATGATTACTATAGCTGGTGTACTACAGTTTGAGCTACTTCTGAGCCCATCTTTGTCAGAAAATTAAAACCCTCTACCCTCTCCGTATTCGTTCCTTATGAGAAATTGGGGCACCTGGAATTATCCTGAAGGTCGCAATTGCCAAAAACGATCTTTTTTTGCTGAGGATGTTGATAAAACCAGCTTAGAGAGTTGCTCGCGAGTAAACTGATGGGGGTTTGACTTTTTAGTGTGCAATGGTACCAATTTGTTGTCGAAGCGAATGAACAAAATAAAAAGGAACTAATTGTCTCCGACATCTCTATATTCAGTCAAAAAGCAAAATATGAATTAATTTTAATGCGTTTTTGCATATATGCAAATGCAACAGTGCATGTGGCAATAGGCTGTTTGTGTGTGTGTGTGTTTGTGTGTGTCTGTGTGTCTGTGTGTTCGCATTTTCCGTCATCCTATTTCAGCTCAAGAACCAGAAAGGCTAGAAGGCTGAAACTTCGGGATTATGCGCCCACACAATGTGCGGCCCTCCCGCTTTAATATCACCACTCGCGTACGGCTGGGTCCCATGTGCGGACGCCTTAAAAAATATGCAAATTTTTTAGCGAGAAAGCGATCTCGGGAGCCAGAGAAGACAGAAAGTTGAAATTTCACAATGCTATCCTCTGCATATGCGTGAGCTAAACGCTTCATATTCAGCCCCTAGGTGTTAGTAATTCATAAGTACGAATATGTGAAAGGTTTGGCGGGAAAATTGTCAACCGTGGTAATCAGAAGAATTAGAAGGCAGAAATTTTAAGGGGGTGTCCCCTATCCAGGTGCAATTTAAAGATTTCAAATTTAGCCCTCGGGTACACGTGGTACCTGCGTACTAGAATGTGAATGTTTTGGAGGGAAAATTGCTAATTCGGAGACCAGAATTTGAGGGGAGCACTCCCCGTCCAAATGTAACTTAACGACTTTAAATCCAATTCTCCAAGTATGCATAGTTCTTATGTGCGGGCAGTTAAATTTTTGCGGAAAAATTCCTCACTGAACAGCCAGGTCATTTTCAAAGAATAATTGCTAGACGGTAACAAGCAACAACCATTCATGCAATTGATAACCTAACTATTTCGAGTTTGGTGCGAAAGCACATTACTGCACCACACACTTGGTGCGTTCCAGCCTGCGTTGTTTTTTGGCTTGATGAGATAGCGGTGTCTTATGCATGTTCTTGTACCAATGAACCAAAAGAGAGCAGCTTTAATGCCACATCGTAGTAGATTCCGAATGACTCGCATTTCTGATCCGCTTTCAAAATACACTGTCTATACCTAACTATTAACTGTTGCCCAAGTATGGTCAGCGTATTTTGCGCTTCTTTATGCGTTTTTGTATTTATGCAAATAGCAAAAAAGCATATTGGGAAGAGGCTGTCTGTGTGTGTATGTCTATGTGTGCCTGTCTGTTCGCACTTTTTACCACCCACTTTCAACTCGAGGACCAGAAAAGCTAGAAGTCTGAAATTTTGGGAATATGTGCCCATACCATTCGCGAGCCTCCCGCTTTAATTTCATTCCCCTTGGACGCCTGTGTGCCGCGTACTGGCGCTTTAAAAAAATATGCAAATTTTTTGGCGGGAAAGCGAGCTCGGGAACCAAATAAGCTAAAGGGCTGAAACTTTGCAGCGACATTCCCTGTGCATGTACTAGCTAAAGATTTCAAATTCAGCCCCCAGGTATGCGTGGTACTCACGCAAGGGCGTATGAAAGTTTTAGGGAAAAAATTACTAACTCGAGTACCAGGGAAGCTAAAAGGCTGAAATTTTGGGAGAATGTTCTATATCGAAGTACCACTCAAATATTTCAAGTTTAGCCTCAAGCTGTGTGTGGTACTCACGTAAGAGCGCACGAAAGTTTCTGCGGGGGAATTACTAACTCGGCAATCAGAAGAGCTGGGAGGTTGAAATTTTAGGCATATGTTTCCTGTCCACTTACAATT